CATGTGAAGGATTGTATGTGTTATTATTCTGAGGAATGTGCTGGAGCAGGAACAATTGTATATCCATGTGATAACAAAAGTAAGACTTTTAACATATACCATGATACTTGTTTTCAGATTTGTATATATGTATAGTCTGCCAGTATTAAATTGTTGTGTGATCTCTCCACTCGTAACATAATGATGTACCGAAACACACCTGACACCACGACAAATGGTGTGTACGCTTCTAATGATGTACCGAAACACACCTGACACCACGACAAATGGTGTGTACGTTTCTAATGATGTACCGAAACACACCTCATACCACGACAAATGGTGTGTATGTTTCTAATGGTGTACCGAAACACACCTCAGACTACGACAAATGGTGTGTATGTTTCTAATGATGTACCGAAACACACCTCACACCACGACAAATGGTGTGTACGTTTCTAATGATGTACCGAAACACACCTCATGCCACGACAAATGGTGTGTATGTTTCTAATGGTGTACCGAAACACACCTCACACCACGACAAAAGTGTGTACGTTTCTAATGATGTACCGAAACACACCTCACACTACGACAAATGGTGTGTATGTTTCTAATGATGTACCAGAAACACACCTGACACCACAACAAATGGTGTGTACGTTTCTAATGATGTACCGAAACACACCTAACACCAGGACAAATGGTGTGTATGTTTCTAATGGTGTACCGAAACACACCTCACACTACGACAAATGGTATGTATGTTTCTAATGATGTACCGAAACACACACCTCACACCACGACAAATGGTGTGTACGTTTCTAATGATGTACCGAAACACACCTCATGCCACGACAAATGGTGTGTATGTTTCTAATGGTGTACCGAAACACACCTCACACCACGACAAAAGTGTGTACGTTTCTAATGATGTACCGAAACACACCTCACACTACGACAGAAGAGCCAGCAGTAGCTATGATGGGACGTCGACTAAGGTCATGACTTGACTTGATAAATCCGTCAATCACTACTACAGTGGAGGATGCTCAACAGAGGCAGATAGACGACAGAGGGAATACGGAAGTTCGAGATAGAACAAGCGGTTCTAGCAAGGAACTATGGGTAAGGACAAAAGTGGGTACCAGGTAGCGCTGTGAGAAAAAAAGGTCCAGTGTCATTTGAGGTACAGGTTGCTCCTGAAATAGTTTGGGGGACGCATGCGGATCAATTTGTAACTTGTGGGAATCAACGGCAGTTACAATACTCGCATAACAATAGCAAACGTGAACGTCAGTTACAATACTGACATTACAATAGCAAACGTGAACGTCAGTTACAATAATGACATTACAATAGCAAACGTGAACGTCAGTTACAATACTGACATTACAATAGCAAACGTGAACGTCAGTTACAATACTGACATTACAATACCAAACGTGAACGTCAGTTACAATACTGACTTTACAATAGCAAACGTGAACGACGGTTACAATACTGACATTACAATACCAAACGTGAACGTCAGTTACAATACTGACATTACAATAGCAAACGTGAACGTCAGTTACAATACTGACATTACAATAGCAAATGTGAACGTCAGTTACAATACTGACATTACAATACCAAACGTGAACGACGGTTACAATACTGACATTACAATAGCAAACGTGAACGACGGTTAAAATACTGACATTACAATACGAAACGTCAACTGCATTTACAATACCGAGATAACAACACAAACGTCAACGCCAGTTACAAAACTGACATTACAATACCAAACGTGAACGACGGTTTACAATACTGACATTACAATAGCAAACGTGAACGTCAGTTACAATGCTGATATTACAATAGCAAACGTGAACGTCAGTTACAATTGAACGTCTGTTACATTACATTACAATAGCAAACGTGAACGTCAGTTACAAAACTGACATTACAATAGCAAACGTGAACGACGGTTTACAAATACTGACATTAGAATAGCAACGTGAACATCAGTTACAATACTGACATTACAATAGCAAACGTGAACGTCAGCTGCAATACTGACATTACAATAGCAAACGTCAACGACGATTACAATACTGACATTACAATACCAAACGAGAACGTCAGTTACAACGCTGACATTACAATAGCAAATGTGAACGTCATTTACAATACTGACATTACAACAGCAAACGTGAACGTCAGTTACAATAATGACATTACAATAGCAAACGTGAACGTCAGTTACAATACTGACATTACGATAGCAAACGTGAACGTCGAGTTACAATACTGACATTACAATAGCAAACGTGAACGTCAGTTACAATACTGACATTACAATAGCAAACGTGAACGTCAGTTACAATACTGACATTACAATAGCAAACGTGAACGACGGTTACAATACTGACATTACAATACCAAACGTCAACGGCACTTACAATGCTGACATTACAATAGTAGCAAACGTCAACGTCAGTTACAAAACCGACATAACAACAACAAACGTCAACGCCAGTTTACAAAGGCTGACATTACAATAGCAAACGTGAATGTCAGTTACTATACTACCATTACAATACCAAACGTGAACGTTAGTTACAATACTGACATTGCAATAGCAAACGTGAACGGCACTTACAATGCTGACATTACAATACCAAACGTGAACGTCAGTTACAATACTGACATTACAACACCAAACGTCAACGTCAGTTACAAAACTGACATAACAACAACAAACGTCAACGCCAGTTACAAAACTGACATTACAATAGCAAACGTGAATGTCAGTTACTATACTGCCATTACAATACCAAACGTGAACGTTAGTTACAATACTGACATTACAATAGCAAACGTGAACGGCACTTTACAATGCTGACATTACAATACCGAATGTCAACGTCAGTTACAATACTGACATTACAATAGCAAACGTGAACGACGGTTACAAACTGACATAACAATACCAAACGTCAACGCCAGTTACAATACTGACATAACAACACCAAATGTCAACGCCAGTTACAATGCTAACATTGCAATACCAAACGTCAACGCCAGTCGCTATACTGACACTATAACATTATAAATAGAAGACTTCTGCTCAGACACAACGTCACAACAAAAACATTCTAGTATCATATCACAGCTATGCTGAAATTAACTCTTGCGAATAGCCATGTTTTACATAACACTTACTGCTTACTGCTTACATACTCAGTTTTATACCAATATCTGTGACCCTATCGTATCGTACTGTATGTTGACAGGTTCTATTGTTTATAATGTATGATTAATGTTGTTGTGTTAGTCACGATGTGGCTCGAATACTGACAGTGTGAACTGGTCTTCAGAGCCCATGCTGGTCGTTACGTCGTATGAGGCAACTAACGGCATCGGGTGGTCAGACTCGCTGACATTTCTTCACACATGCCATCGTATATCCCAATTGGGTGGAACGATGCTCATAGTGTTGATCACTGGATTGTCTGGTTGAGACTCACTTATTTACAGACCTCCGCCATATAGCTGGAAAATGGCTGAGTACGGCGTTAAACAACCAGCCAAGCAACCAATCTCTGTAGGGGTGAATTCTTATATTAAGGAATATCCCAAAATGCAAAAGTCAGACAGCGGTTTGATTTTATTCAAAGCTTCAGGGTAACTCAGAACAGTGTATGAGAAAAGCTCCGAAAATGCTTACGTTTGATATCGTTGGTACAGGTTTACGTTGTAATATTCCGGCAACTGCATTTATAGAGTCGAACCCGCGCGGAACGAGTGATGCTGTTTACCCCAAGGCTATCAGACCGCCTCTTCTTTTAGCAACAATAACGCATAACTGTCTTGAAATGTTGCACAACCCTTTCTGTTAAGAATGATACCAATCCCTTGAACAAGATATATTTGCTAATGTGTGGTGAGATGATAACCTGTTAATTATATTATATTTGAAAGGTTTCCTTACAAACTGTGGAAATGACGGTAACAATAACACAGCAGCTGTGTGATATTTGTTATGTGTACCCATATAAACACATTATGCAAGAAGTTGACCTTCATCTTTGTGGTAATAATTCCTACACATATTCATTTTCGGAGCTTTTTGCATACACTGTTCTGTGTCACTTTGAAGATTTGAATGAAGCCATACCACTGTTGAACAGAGGCGGTTGGGTAGCCTAGTAGTTAAAAGCATCTCACTTTACTCTCGGGTGCGAATCTACAAATGCAGTGGGTACACCATGTAAAGGACTTCCATTTTTAAATGGACGAAATATGACCACAGTCGGCGAAAACATGTACCAACGATCTGAAACTTAAATAGTCACTGAAGTATCCGTAAAATATGTTCACGAATTATCTTGCAAGAAGTGGAGACGGGGAAAACATCAATGTGCATGTGGCAATCACTCGTATTTGCAAACAACGCTGCAGCTTTTGTACTTCGTCACTCTTTATATTTGTAAGGCGTGTAGTCCTTTCTCATACGTTCAACTGCAAGACTCGAAAATACAATTACCCTTGCAATGTGTGCTTGCCTCACGCCATTGTAGCAACATCTAATTAACACAGTACAGTTATCCCCATTCTAATTCAACTCGTTTTACACTATTTTTTCATTATTTAAACCAGGTCAAAGTTCCTGTAGGTCAAAGGTTAATCACATCACTCCTTGAACTTACACCATCGCTAGAAAAAGTAGTTCCCTGATGATTCCTCAACTACGGACTATTATCAGTTCTGTTGTGAAATGACGTCATAGTGACGTCATAAATCTTGTTTCATGATCTAACATTGTTGGGTCAACAGCCTGTTGCCAGTAAGTTGTTTTAACTGAAAATTAAATTTATGATACTGTTTTGTCCTTTTTTAACACACATTCCACCCATTTAGCTGGATAGGGAGCTTTTGGTGAATCGTGTTTCAAACTGCGACCGTATATGCTGATTATCCGGTCGGAAATGTATAGCATTGACCAATCAGCACTCGTGTTACATACTAAGTTGATTTGAAATCATGCATTTCATATTTCATAATTATACACACTAGTAGCTACTACTGGCTTTGTGTTGTGTAAATAGTAATTTTGACAGAGTTGTATGTAAATACATGGCGATGCCATGTACGTTATCATTGTAAACGTCCTCATAGAGAAGATATTATCAAGTTATGAAGTGTTCCTTCGTAGTATTCAATTCGAATGTTTGTGAGTTCAAATCACCATCACTGTCACCATCACGACAGCGCCTTGACAATCATCGCTTTCTTCTCCTCTGTCATGTTGATGTCGCTGCCCACTACAAGTCTCATGCTGACAGTGAGGAGATGTGGGTTATACACCCCGAACATCGGCCACAGTGGTTCACTACAGTCAACATTGTCTAACGTCGACATGACTTTCTTCTCCTTCACATCAATGAAGACAATCTTCTTCCTGGCGTCATCATAGACAACACCGTAATGTAGTGTGTGTGATGCCCTGCTGTGTTGGGGAGAGTGTCAGGCAGATGCAGCACACGATTCCCCTCCTTCCCTATCCTCCTGCATATCCCGCCGTGTGTAATACAGTCGCCGACGGTCATACAGTAAGAGTGAGGACGTCCACCTATCCATTGAAGCACGTCCCTCTGCTCCTCCCTACATAACCCAACCTCCAGGACGAGGTTGTTCCCTGAGAGTGGTTTGTCCAGACTGACCCTGTTCTCCACCTCCCAGTACTGGGGACAGCCATCCTGGGAGAGGGAGGCAGTGCTGCATGTGCCCTCGTACTTCTTCAGTCTCCCCTCTCCTGCTGGTCTTGTGTCCGACTCCCTGTTGACCAGGTCTCCTTCTGTGTTGATGTTGGCGTAGTCGAGATTTACTCTGTCTTTGTCATACTTTAGCGGTATACCTACAACATATGGATGTGAAATGCATGAGAAGAATACTGATAATTTCTCGCAATAATGATATTGTAATACTCGGAATTCACAGCTTAGTAAAATGTGTACCTATATTCAAACAGTGCAATATAATCAGAATGCAGCAACAAACCCTACTGAGTGTTACATTTTGACCTTAGCACTGGGTCACATTGAATTAACTGATAAGCCACTACTCCGGATATAGCGTGTTTCGTCGGTTATCAAATGGTGGACACGGGACGTCAACAAAAATATTCATACAACATATATGTCCTATTTACAGTTCAGATTCTAAATTGCTGCGTACAATAAACACCCAGAGAGCGGATCTGTATACCTAGACTCAGTACATTCTTGTCTTATAACAGAAACGCAGACGAACGTGGTATTACGAGGAACGTGTAGATTGCATGTCAAACAATGTTAAGCTCACTGTAATTTGAGTCAACATGGCTGATTTAGTTACCCATGTACACCGAACCCCAAAACTGCTGCTGGTAAGCAGCGTCAGAGTGACGACATTTTTATTTCTTCTATTTAGTGGGTCAATCATGTATAAAACGTCCAAATGAATATAGATTTCATTCCATTTATCATTAAGATATGCGCGAGGGAATATTTGATTGCTGATAGAAATTGTTTTGTCAAAGATGCAAGCCAAATCATTATTTTACTTTGACTATTTGATATTTTTGTGAACATGCATGTATTAAATAGAACAACATCATGGATATCCACCGGAATAGCACTTATATTTCGTGAAAATACATTGTAGACGTGAATAATTATATGTTCTACAAATTTAAAGGCATCAGCAACGAAACGCTTGTTACCTCATCACACTGACGTGTCATTGCAGTTTAACAGCACACACACACACACGCGCGCGTACGCACAAAGATGCTCCTGGTTGTCATTTTTTATGCAATTTAGGTTGTATCTGAAATTGCCCTTAGTTATACTTGGCTTACGATGGTACACTATCTGAACTTCAGAGGGCATCACTTTCTAATTAGGTCAATCCATCTGCCAAGTTAACGTCGTTTGGTGACGAAATACTGTACAGGTTCCAAGATCTGCCATATCTTGCACGGTTGGGCTGGCGGACGGACAGTAATGAAGGCGTAGCAGGGATGAAAAGTAAAATGAAAGCGTTATCAATTGGTCAAACACTGGTTACCCCATCACAGTCGTGTTTCATAGCTATACACATAGCTGTTTCGACTCGCCGTCACCTGGTAGACACCTTTTTAATCATAGTGAGTGAGTGAGTATGATTTTAGTCCATGCAGGTAGCAAAGGTACTGTAAGTCCCCATGGTCCCTAGTATGGTGATCTACCTTCTGTTGTTGGCGATCTATAGCCTGTTTTTATATTGTATTGTCCCTATAGTGCTATTAGTTTTAAACTTCCCACGCTAGTTTTATTCTAATTGTGATATTCTAGTTGTTTTACTGTCCTTTGTTGACAGGTTTTATATTATTCATATATTCAACTTCAGAATCAAATATGTTCTCGTCATGATATGGCTGAAATATTGCCGATGTGACGTTAAATAATAACTCACTCACTCACTCACGAGTATGATTTTAGCAATGTAATAGCAGTATCACGTCGGGGAGAACAGAAATGGGCTTCACACATTAAACTCATGTAGAGAATCGAACCTGGGTCTTCGGCCTGGCGAGTGAACGCTTTAACCACTAGGCCACCGATGCCTGTCCGACATGACTGAAGAACAAATTGTCAAGGAACTCTCTCAGCAATCCGTCACAGCCGTCAAACGATTCACCTTCAAAAAGGATGGTGTTGTTCAACCAACGAACACCTATCTCTTCACATTCGCGCGAGCAAACATCCCTGACTCGATTAAAGCTGGTTATTGTAGCATTGGTGTGGAGGTGTATGTCCCCAATCCACTCCGGTGCTACAACTGCCAAAAGTTTGGACATGGATCCAAGTCCTGTCGTTCCTCTGCTGTTTGTTATCGCTGTGGTGACAAGCATGAGGGCAACGACTGTGCTAAGGAAGTGAAGTGCACAAACTGCGGTGGTAACCATATGGCCTCCTCAAGTTCTGTCCAGTGTGGAAACGCGAATCCGAGATACTAAAGATCAAGCACAAAGAAAATATCTCCTTTCACGAAGCAAAGAAGAGGGTTGCAAGTTTAACTGCAGCCCCTTCAACCATCACCTACTCTTCTGCTGTCTCCCGTCCTACTATCACTACTGCAACCATCTCATGTCAGACCGACCTGACATGGATCATGTCTTCTCAACCAACTGAACTCAACACAACTGAGCCCATCTCAGCAACTCCACCTCCAACGCCCAAAGTCAAAACCTCTGAATCACAAACACCAGAGCAAATGCCAAAACCAGAGACAGAAACTGCGCGCAGAAAAAGGGAAAAAAAGAGGCTAGAGAGACTAAAGCAACTCGAACAACCGCCAAACACAAACCAAAGGCCACCTCTCCCTCAGAGGCCCCATCGAGGTCCATAACTCCTTTGGCCCTCTGGATATGGAGGTAACTCCATCCCCACCAGACACCAATAGGAGTTCATCAAACGCTTTCTCACGTTCACGTGACATGTCACCAGTGGAAGCACCATGAATCCACAAAACATGATCCAATGGAATTGCAGAGGACTTAAGAATAATTATAATGAATTACAGTTATTGATTCAAGACTTCAAACCATCTGCGTTTTGTCTCCAAGAAACCTACCTAAAAGGACTGATAAATTTGACATCCGTCGGTACAGTTCCTACCACTCCTTTTCTCCTCCCGGTGTAAAAGCTACAGGAGGCACTTCCATCCTGGTGAAGCAGGGCATCCTCCATAGCCCTGTTCCACTTAACACCAACCTACAAACTGTTGCTGTCCGCATAACTCTGAACATAGGGTTTACACTATGTTCCCTCTATCTCCCTCCCACCTCAACTGTCCGCCTATCAGATCTTCAGAACTTATACGATCAACTCCCAAAGCCCTGCATAATCATGGGCGACTTCAACAGCCATAACCCCCTATGGGGGAGTAATGATACAAATAGTAAGGGAAAGATCCTTGAATAGTTTCTCTCCAATAATGATGTATGCATCTTCAACGATGGATCAAACACCTACCTCCATCCTGCCACTGGATCATACTCTGCTCTCGATCTATCACTTACAGATTCTAATCTTTTAAATGAGTTTGAATGGTCGGTCCATGACGACCTTTGTGGAAGCGACCACTTCCCAACAATTCTTACTCCTATGAACCCCACGGATGAACCACCATCAACAAGATGGAATTTTACTAAGGCCAATTGGCCTTTATTCCAAACCCTATGTTCAGAAAAACTTAAGCCGGACAACTTCAGGAATGTTCCTGACCCCATGGAACTATTTTCAGACGTCCTAAATGCCATCGGAGACAAAACTATTCCTAAGTCCTCTGCAAACCCGCACATACGCAAACCATGGTTTGATACAAACTGCAAACAAGCTAGGAAAAATAGAAAGAAGGCGGAAAAATATTTCCGACAACATCCTACAGTGCATAACCTGAATGCTGTTAAAATGACAAATGCCAGGGCAAAACGTACCTTCAAACAAACTAAACGCCGGTCATGGAGGAAATATGTGTCCAAAATCAACTCCCGCACACCCATGTCCAAGGTGTGGAACATGATTCAAAAGATCAAGGGCAAAGAGTCAAAATCAGGAGTTCACCACCTGAAAGATGGTGACTCCCTTCTAACAAATAAATCTGAAATTGCAAACAAACTTGGCGAAACTTTGTCAAACCACTCCTCCTCATCAAATTATAACCCTCAGTTCCAGAAATATCAAACCCAACAAGAAAAGAAACCAGTCAATTTTAACTCTGATAATGGGGAGGATTACAACGAAACGTTTTCCCTCCATGAATTACGTACTGCCCTAGGACAGGCTAAAGACACTGCGGCAGGAGCTGATGAAATCCATTATCAGCTTCTGAAACACCTCCCCTGACATAGGCTTGGAAACACTCCTAAATATATTTGATGACATCTGACATCCGGACACTTCCCCTTCGTGGCACAATGCCATCATCATCCCTATACCAAAACCCGGTCGCGACCATACTGATCCCTCAAACTACCGTCCTATATCACTAACTAGCTGCGTTTGCAAAACCATGGAGCGCATGGTCAACAATCGATTAATCTGGTACTTGGAGACCAATAACCTCCTCAGTGATCTCCAATGTGGTTTCCGAAAAAACCGAAGTACCATTGACCATCTGGTGCGTCTGGAAGCATTCATCAAAAACTCCATTGTCAACAAACAACATGCAGTATCTATCTTTTTCGACTTAGAAAAGCATATGATACAACATGGAAACATGGTATCCTAAAAGATTTACACGAGTTTGGATTGAGGGGTAGACTACCGCAATTCATATCTCGGTTTCTAAATAACAGACACAGGCCCCTAACCAACGGAAGCAAGAATGTGTATATGGAAAGAAATCCCTCCAGTTTAGAACATATAATAGCAGGAATTGAAGGAAATCGATCTATTTTGGTCCCCAACGCGTTCAGAATGGAAAAAGACGATCTGGTTTTCATGCACGAACATCAAATTTGGCAGAAATAGTCGCTTATTCGGTTGCAAATTCGACCGTTTCGGTCGCAAGAACGTCTCGTTTGGAAATTGAACGGTACGGTACGGATACAACTCCGTTTTTTCCGGTACCCAATCGGTAATTTTCGACACGAGAGCGTCATTTCCGGAACAAGACCGGCAGGAAAATGGCGACCGAGGATGAATTAGCGATTGTGGTAAGTTACATTTTTATCGGTTAGAGCGTACCATTGTGTTGTAGGTGAAAATAATACCTCGCATTGAACATAAACAAACATCATTATCCACCTTACATCAAGTTTCAGTCATGAATACGTGTAGAGTTTCCTGTAAGGGTGGCAGAAACTCGTGTTTCCAGTGCAGTTTGTGGAAAGCTAACTGCTGTCCGGCTGATAACAAAACAGATAGCCGATGACGTTGTAGTGTTGGTTCATTATTTCAAACATGTTATGTAAACAAAGTACGTTTACTTAGTTGCCAATGTATTTGTGTTTCAGATTTAGAATGGGGCGGAGAAAGTATAAGCTGTCATTGAACAGAGTTAAACGAAGAGTTAGGCCTACCAACAATACTGGACATACTGCAAAATGCACATTAATCCCTGAGCACAGCACCCCGCTAAAAAAAACGACGTGTTGACAATACAAGTAGTGGTCCAGATTTTCAGTTATCACCAATCAAGGACACGTCAGAGGAAAACCACAGTGCTTCGAATTTTCACCTATCAAGCAGACATCAGACGGAAATCATGGTGAATATGTCAATCATGCTTATGGTCCATGTTCAATGGCTGTTGATTCAAGTAACAATGTTCCACAAAACAGTTATTATAAGGATGGTAATGGTTCATGTTCCGCCCATGAAATCAGTCATGACATTTTGTGTGACAAGTGTGGAAAACATATTCAGGTCAACTTGTCTTGTGTTCACAACTTTAGCAGAGATGCAATGTGTGACAAGTGTGGCTGTTTCATTGAGTGTACTCATCGTGTTGTCAGATCAGGTGTTTTTACTGAAACTGAAAGTGACAGATTCCTGTACTCACGTTGTCAGGATGAATCTGAAAAGAACTTAATCTCTCTCCTTATGGATGCAAATCAAAAAGTGTGCAAGGCTGGGCATGGCAATTTTATTGAAGATTTCTTGAAGGTAATTGTGTCGGAAAGACTTGACCTTGAGAGGCTGACATTTAAAACCATTCAAGAGACAATTCAATCCCTTTGTGTTGAGTCATTGACACAAATGAGGTTTCTTGGCAAAGTAAATGTTTTTGGAAACTATTTATGTCTAAGTGTGGAGGAATGGCAATTCGTTTGCTCAGTGGATGGAAATGTATTGGATCACTTCTGACGGAGAACACTTTACCTGGCCATATCAACACCATCTTAGCCATTCCAAATGAAGATGTGTTACGAAAATTTGATCCTTACAACGGCGACTGGCCCAGTAGACTCCCTCCTGGTTTTGTGAAAACATTGCAAAACCTTTTGCTGAAGCAGCTAAGGAAAGCAGTGTATGTATTTCACTTGATGGAAAGAAGATTACTCCTGGTCTCAAGGGTGATAGGGGTGATATTAATCTGCTTGGCAAGGAAGAAGATGGCATGACTCTAAAGATGAAGCAAGAGAAATTCAACCATGAACAATCTGCAATTAAAGATTTACAAGTTTCCCTGGCAACTTTTGTTCCAATTGAGTCCCTGTCTTTCAATACTATTGTATCACAAATGAAATGGTTAGTGACACTTTTGAGTGACCATGCCCTTCATCTGGAAGAAGAAATGACAAAAAGCAGTATGCTCTTGAAAAGTTGAAAAAATGGGCGGAGAAGACTATAGATCATCGAAGTACTGTTTCGTAATTCAGATGATAATTGCCACACTGATGGAAATACAAGAATGTATGGACACTGGTCAACAATTGCAGCATGATCTGTGTTCGGAACTGGCACGTCTTCATGGCAATCAAAATCTCCTTAAAGATTCCCCTGTCAGTCTATCGCAATTGTCCAATTATTGTACTTTGTATGATATTGATGACCTGTTGGCATCCACCGATGATGAGAAACAGAGCTTGGCTTCCTATATTCAAGACTTGGGACCACAGTACATCAAACAGCAGAGTTCACTATGGTTTACCCTTCGAAAGGAAGTATTGGTCACTGGCAGTGTTCTGTATTCAGCAACTGGAGCGGGAGGTCTGAAAGCTAAAAGGGAACATTACATGCATGTTGTTCAAGGAAAAGAACAAGCTAAGTTTTCAGATGAAATTCAGGCAGCTATTGATCATGGGCAGAAGTATGAAAGATTTGCAATGGCAACATTTTGCACAAGATTCATGCCTGGTTTTCTGCCTCAGCATGCAGTTTATGAGATTGGATGCCTTCCAATAGAAAATAGAGGAGTGAAAATATTAGTATCACCAGATGGGGTAGTGTGCAACACAAACACTGGGCAAATAGAAGCAGTTGTTGAGATCAAATGTCCTTACACAGCGCCTTTGCATTCTACTATTCCATCAAGATATTACCTGCAAGTTCAAGCTGAAATTTTTGCAATGGATGTTCAGTATTGTTTCTTTGTTTCTTACAAAGAAAGCAAAACAAGAGTGTTCAAGATTGACAAAGACGAAGAAATATGGAACCTAGCTGGCATATGCTTGCATGAAACATACGGAGCACAACCACCAACAATCCCATCCAGGTTGTCCCAATCTTGCAAACTTCTCTCGGCGAAGCTCAAGTCAGCAGCTAAGACTAATTGCAAACTTGTAGCACAAGTTTCATCTATTGATGCAATGAACATTGAGGAAACCCTTGGACCTGTCCTTCCATTGACGTCACATCATGTTCCACATCCTTTTGTGTCAGATTTTCTGAAAGGAAATGGGAATGCTGATTTAAAAGTTATGTTGTCTCTTGTTGAGACCGCGTATGCCCACAACAACAAAGTTCATCAACTTCTTCGAAAAAAAGCCACAGAACTTGTAACATTAGTTGCATCAGACACTGACAGATTGTGGAGTAAAAATCAACTGACTGGCACTCCTGTATGCTACTTTCTGAAAGGATACAGTTTACCCATGACTGTCATGCGGTCGATTTTAGAAGACACGTTAGACAAACTTCATGAAATGCAAATTCATGTTCCCTGCATAGCCTTTGATGGTCAGTTCATGAAATTGTTGAGGGAAGACAAAAATGGAAAGCCACAGACAGTTCTTCAGCTTCAAAAGCAGTATTGGAATGAAGTTTGTCAAAAGTCAAAGCCATCAATTCTTTCAGAATTGAAAAATGCAGGACTTGTTACGTCTCTTGATGACTTGTCTATTGCGTCAATCCAAGATTCAAGTAATGGACATACATTGCAGTCAGTCATTGTTGAAAGGAAAATGAAAGAGAGGCTTCCCAGAAGCAGTCATCTAATACAGGTTCGTTCAAAAACAACAACTAGTGATGGGGAAGAACATAAAGACAAGTCGGAAAAGGCCACAACAGTACAACCTAACCCGGATGAAAATCTCATTGCAGAGCTTGAATTTCAGGCCCTAGAAACACAAGAGGAAGGGCAAGAAGAAAAGGTGAATAATGTACTGGATCCGCCAAACACTGATAGTGCTCATGAAATAGAAGCTATCGCTAAAGTTTTCAGTGATGAAAAACTTAAAATTCTCATAAAGGACTTATCAAAAGACCATGTTCGCTGGGAGAGTAAGGGTTTAAAGGATGCAAAGAAAGTACTTGGGAACTGTGATGAGTTGTCAAAGCTGAAAGTAACAGAGTTGAAGGTTGTCATTCAGTTTGTTCGAAGTCATCTTGGAGAAAACATTTCTCTTTCTGGATCGAAAGCAGATCTAATTATGAGACTGAAAGCTGTGTTCCAGCTGGACGGTGAATTCAACTTACCCAGCAGAAAGAAAAGTGTCAAACCTTTGAAGGTACTTGCAACAAGAATTCTACAGGGACAGAAATACCCTAAAGCTGCTCTGAATATTTCATATGCAGAATGGAAATTCCCACAAGTGTTGGAGAAATGGCAAAGGAACACTATGATCAAACATGCAATGTTCATTCCACAGACACATTGATTGGTTTTATGTTCCTGAATTCTCTGATTCAAGAAGGCAATTAGAGGTCAAGATAATTGACTCGCAACATTTGCTCACTCGTCACCGTTCAGCCGTTTGCAAGGGGCACCTTGGACATGCTAAGAAGCAGCATTTCATTCAAGTAGCAGCCGAAAATTCAACCCCTTTAAAACTTGGAATGATGGAACAGCAACTGAACATGCAGTCAACTGACTTCGCCCTTATTACCTTCTCACAGAATGTTCAGAACAGCATGGAGACAGCAGGCCACAATCAGTCAGCAGAATTATGCAAACTGGTACGTTAAGTAACTACGTTGCTTGTACTTACTACTTTTAGTGTATTTTGACAATGCATACATAGAGTATGGTAGGCTATTGATTTACAGAAAAGGTTAATTGTTATATGAGACAATGGGTCAATGTTCTTTAATGCTTGGTTTAAAACCCATTCGGTTTTATTTGACCGTTTGAGTCTATTTCACCAATCCAATGATCAATGTCTAGATGAACATAGCAACTGAATATATAAAGAAATAAGAAATATTCAGATGGCATGTGATCAGGAAATTACCTGACAGTTAACCACATTCTGTTTCATTTAAAGGTACATGACTGGTTTGCTGCCAATGATGAGCCCGGAATTTCAGCAGTCGAGCGATGTCAAATGAAATTGAGGTATTTTACCTTTAGTAAATCAACTTCTTATTTGATCTCTGGTGGGGGTCAAACAATACACTTGATCCTCGGTTCAGTATGTATTGAGATACAGGATCCCTGGTTTATACATTTTCAGTTCTGTTCAGAATCAAGTATGAAACCAAACTAAATTAAAAACAATCCACATTTTTTTTAAAGTAAAGTTTTAGATTTTTCAGAAGCCAGATTTTCGGCTTGTAGTGTTCAAATCTGCAAGATATGGCATATACTGATTAACAAACTGTTTGCGGTATTTGCCAAAAATACATAGCGGTAATTTTATTCAGAGAACTTAACTATCAAATATCATGTCTTCAAATGTCATCCTTTAAATTGGATTAACTTGTATACATAGGTATCGGGACTACCTGCTGTCACTGGACGACCTGTCATGTTTCCCTCCCCCTGGTTCACACATAAACGGGTACTCCTTGGCTCTGTGGGAGGCTACCATATCTTCAATAGATGCAGATCTACAGATGTATGCCATAACCCGGCGACGGACATACAACAACAGATCCTTGAGCAGTCAACCTTGTGAGAGTCTTTACTCCAGCTTAGCTACAATGCCCGGAGCGAGGAACGGAGTACCAAGTGCAGTTGATTTGGAAGTGAACATGGCCAAAATTTGCGGGGAGTGTGTAGTTCGACAAGATCCAACAAGGTGAGGTTTTGTATTGCATTGATACTTTTAAGATTGATATTATTGTAAAATTATGTGGTGACAGTATATATACCATTGTTGACAGGTGTGATGTAATGTTATGTAAGAAATGAGTGCTTACTTGCTTTCATTTGCTGTTACTATGCTAGTTTTAATTCTGAAGCGTAATATCAAAATTACAGGGTAGTATTACATAGTATTTTCATATTATTAAACAAGTGTTTCTATTGTTTTCAGGGGATTTTCAACTCGCTTGTCAAGTGCACCAGTATATCCCCAGATGCTTTTAGAGAAAGGAGTAGGGCCATTATTGGAACCAAAAGCTGTGCCAACATTCATCAGGGAAATAACTATTCAGGTAGTGTATCATATTATCAATTGTAACCACTATTCTGTGTATGAAATAAAGCCTGTCCACCCTAGGGCTTGAACGGGTGGCTTTCTCCCCGCCATAATACTAGTAGCTGCGATATAACTGAAATACTCTTGAAAGCGGCGTTAAACCCAAACTCAGAATCTTTCACAGGTTGTGAAATCCCTTGTGGCTTCTGGAAATACCCATTGAGAATAGAGTACTGAATGTAAGTGATCACTGTTAAGTAATAAGGTATAAATAAGTAATAGGTATAAATGCATGTTATGTAACAAGATTCAAGTTCAGTATGTACATTATAGTGTTGACAATGACTTAATAAATGTTACAGGATCATCTCTTCGATGCACCACAACGAAGGCGTCTCTGCAGGAAGGAACCTAGGGGCATTTCTGCCATACATGAATCTGGGAAAGGAGGCCATGGAGTGAGACACTTTCACAAGACTGACGAGTCGAAAATAAATCCGCTCATCAGAGCAGGATTATCAGTTGACTCAAAGTAGGCTTTTGTTTAACAATTCAAATACATTGTCACAACTCGAAGCGTTAACCATTGCCGTGACACCTGGATGAAGTGTTTATCTCTAGATATTGATGTGAAAGAAAAGAGACAATATGTCAAACAGTCTTGTTTTATTAATGTATCTTCACAAACATAGCTGGAAATATGAAATACACTTCGCAACTGTCCTTAAACATTTTCAGAATAATTTGTTATGTGCCCAAATGCACGTGTTTGTATTTTGTTTTACACATGTTGTTTGCCTCATGGCAGATATTAAATGAATATGTAACTTTATTAGCCACCAATCTTCGATTATTTCAATTAATCGGACCAATACTAATAAGTACTGCATGTATCCAAAACAGCATTTACTGATTTGTGAATGAATGTCTAGCATTGTGCTCATAAGAAATAAAGAAATTTTGCATCCGGAATATTTTGTACTTATTAGACCAATGCAGTCCACTTCGAACTGAACGTGGCACGATCACACTTTACATTCTTCTTGTGACGTGCCAGATAGCTTCTCTCCTTGAATTCACGTCCACATGTGTCGCATACCTGTGAACGGCAGTCTGAATGTGTGACGGCAACATGTCGTGAGACAACAGACTTCCACCTAATCTGGTAATTGCAGGAAGAACACTTATACAAAGTTGGCTGATCCACATGAAGTACAGAATGACCTTTCAACTCTGTTCTTGTGGCAAACCTGTGGTGACATACTTCACACTCAAATGATTTCAGGTGTGTCTTAACATGTCTTTGAAGTTGGGATTTGGTGGTGAACTTCTTGTCACATGTTTCGCATTCATATTGTTCACCAGAGTGTTGCTTGATGTGTTCCCTCATTCCCCGAAAAGTCTGCATAACCTTGCCACATGTATTACACTTGCACACTCCTGTTCCCTTATGGTCACGTGCCAAATGTTCCTTCATCACATCATTTGAAAAGAAAAGGGATGGACACTCAGGACACTTTATGTGAAAGTCTTGAGAGTGACGTCTCATATGGGAAGTCATTGAGGTTTTCAGCAGCGTCTTGTCACATATTCCACAGACTTGAGTTAACATTGGAATAGTCGGAAGAATCTGCTTTGATGAGTCTGGAAATAAATGAAGTGGGTTTTAATTTTTTCACTCTCATAGATATCATGCCACACAAATCACATCATGAATACAAACATTTCTTTTATATACATTCAAACGTACAATATTTATCAGAATCAAACATATTGTGCTGAAAGGGATACAGCGCAATATCAAACATTAATTCTCACATAAAATCAATATTTCTAGTCAGATTCTGAGACTTTTAGTTAGTTAACAATACATAATCTCGGCCCAATATGGTGTTTTGTCAATGTTGTCAGATAATGCATTCACTGCCCCATAAATTGAGACTGAAGTGTCATGGGAGAAATCAGATGTCGAGTTTATTTTGCTTCAAATGTTCATTACTGGTACTGTGATGTTACGTTTCAAGTGGATACACAAATTAATCGAAGTACTACATACTACATACCACAATCACTGCCAAGTGTCTCTATCATAGAGTATTCACTCTCACTGGACGCTGTAGACTCAAAGGTGGATTCCTGAGATGTCTGCAGTTGAGATGACAAAGTTCCATGTGACGAAGATCTAGAGTCCTGACTTGTTGTTGGTGTTTCAGGCACCACCTCACACCACTCTTCACCAAATACTGCCGAAGCAAGCACTTCCACGTCCTCTTTGGTTATCTGAAACAAATAGTTTTATTGCAAGTATACTTAAGAATGTATGACCATATTCTCACATAAACTGAGGTAATTAATAAAATTTAAGATTCTTCTGCCTCAAAAATATATAAATATATGAATATAAAAAGACATGTCTTGTTTCTCATCACTGTTTTTGTGAACAATTATCTGCAGGTTTTATTTTTGTATTCAGGAAAATGTCCCCTTTCACTATCACAAAGACAAAGGGAAAAATATATTTAGATGGAAGACTTAGGGGTGCAAAAAGTGATTAAATAAAAACATTTGTTCGTCAGATGTAAGGGTCCAGCGGTGATGAGAAACAAGACATCTTTTTTTATTTGGCTTAATTCATGTTATGTTCAGAAACAGTTTTATCATTTCTTTCGGAATATTCTCATTGTTGACATCAACACTATAAATGATCGGCTGTCTGTTTTGATATCAGCCGGACAGCAGTTAGCTTTCCACAAACTGCACTGAAAGCACGAATTTCTGCCACGATTACAAGAAAATCTACACGTATTCATGACCGAAACTTGATGTCAGTTGGTTAATGATTGTTTGTTTATGCTCAATGCAAGGTTTTCGTTTCACCTACAACACAATGGTAAGCTCTAACAGAAAAAAAATGTAACTTAACACAGTCGCTAATGCATCCTCGGTCGCCATTTTCCTGCCGGTCTTGTTCCGGAAATGACGCTCTCGTGTCGAAAATTACCGATTGGGTACCGGATAAAACCGGAGTTGTATCCGTACCGTACCGTACCGTTCAATTTCCAAACGAGACGTTCTTGCGACCGAAACGGTCGGATTTGCAACCGAATAAGCGATTATTTCTGCCAAATTTAATGTTCGTGCATGAAAACCTGATAGTCTTTTTTTCCATTCTGAATGCGTTGGGGACCAAAATAGATCGATTTCCTTCAATTCCTGCTATTATATGTTCCTAAACTGGAGGGATTTCTTTCCATATACACATTCTTGCTTCCGTTGGTTAGGGGCCTGAGACAATTCCAAGTTCGGGTGGGTTCCACACTGTCTGACTACTTCCACCAAGATCAGGGCGTCCCCAAGGCAGCATCCTGTCTGTCACACTTTTAGCATCAAAATTAACAGCCTCACTAACGTTCTGAACAGTTGCGTTGATGGGTCGCTTTTCGTCGATGACTTCAATATTTCATGTCGTGGTAAGAACATGCACGCAATAGAAAGGCAGCTACAACTCTGCCTTACCAAAATCCAAAAATGGGCCAATGAAAATGGTTTTAGGTTTTCAAAATCCAAAACAAATTGTATTCACTTTTGTCGTAAAGACAAACCACACAAAGGATCAGACCTAACTTTAGATGGTACTCCCATCAAAGTAGTAGAAGAGGCCAAATTCCTGGGACTCATATTCGACCGCCACCTGACATTCTTACCACACATAAAATATTTGAAAACAAAGTGCTTGAAGGCTTTAGACCTGCTAAAAGTAGTTTCAAATACAGAGTGGGAGGGGATCAGACCACCCTCCTTCACTTGTACAGATCATTAGTCCGCAGTAAACTAGATTATGGCTCCATTGTCTACGGTGGAGCCTGCAAAACAATTTAGAAAAAAATTAGACTCTATCCACCATCAAGGACTGAGGCTCTGCCTGGGAGCTTTTAGGACCTCTCCGGTAGACAGTCTATATGCAGAGGCCAATGAACCTTCCCTTCAACAACGCCGCATTAAACTCTCACTGCAGTATATCACTAAATTACGTTCCTAAATGGGCCAATCAGCATACAATTGTGTTTTCAACCCGCTCTATGAAAACTTATTTCCTAAACTGCCAAGCCTGGTTCCACCACTTGGAATCAGGATCAAACCACACATATCTGCAGCTAAAATTGATCTCAACATCATTTGCACCATACCGACTTCTGTCCTCCACCACCATGGCAAATGGTGAAACCACAGGTCGATCTTTACCTCACCAAACTCAAAAGTCTGGAAACAAATCCCTTGGTGTTGTTCCAACAGGAATACAACCAGTTACGTTCTAAGTATAACACTCACAGATCCATTTTCACAGACGGATCCAAGGACGATGGCCAAGTTGCCAGCGCTACAGTCATTGGAGCCAAGACTGTCTCCTCTCTAGGATCCCCTGACAACAGTTCCATTTTCACCGCTGAAGCCAAAGCTATCTTCTCAGCTTTGACCTACCACATTCAACAGCAAAATCAGTCCAAAACTTCATCATATTTTACAGATTCATTATCCTGCCTTCAAGCACTTCTAAACGTGACTTCAAGTCACCCAATCATCCTGGACATATTAGAACTGTACAACGACCTTTCTACTAGCCAATATGACATCATCCTCTGCTGGTTGCCGGGTCACGTCGGCGGCATAGCAGGTAACACTAAGGCCGATGCTGCAGCAAAGCAGCTCTCGAAAAGCCCCTATCTCCACTGCTAATCCCGTACAGTGACTTCAAACCCACTGTCAACAGCTATACTCGGGACCTGATGCAAAAGGTGGGACACTCAAGTAGGAAGAAACAAACTCCATGAATTGAAGCCAACAATCGGTTATACCTACTTGGGTTGTCAGTCAAGACACGATGAGGTAATTTTACGACGATGTCGTATTGGCCACAGTCGATTTACACATGACTATCTGCTGAAAACGGATGGGGATGGACCCCCCATGTGTGTCTCTTGCGATGAGGTGTTCACCGTCAAGCATATTCTGCTTGAATGCGTGGACTTATCGCCTGCAAGGGACTCACATTATGATGCAACAAACCTAAAGATCTGTTCTCACGCGTGAGCGCCCATCTGATACTGAACTACCTGAGGGAAGTTGATCTGTATCATAAACTGTAACTGTGAAATGTAACAACCATAAATTGTAACTATGAAATGTAACAAACCGCCTGCCTATAAATTTGATGCTATGATTTTTTCTGCTTTCGAATGACAATGCAATAAATAAATGTCTTTGAAATAAAACTCATTCCGAGTATGTACTTACAATATTTACTAATGCAAACTTGTTCTCGTCACTATATGGCTGGAAAATGCCGATGTGACGTAAAGCTCAACTCAACTCAACTCAACAACATGTATATGTTACGTTGCAGTTTGATATCATAGTCACTGTAAAATGCTAAATATCTGGCATGGTAGACTTCAGTAAAACATGGTAGCCAGAACTACACTTTATCAGTAAAGTACAGATTCTAGTACTTTCACACAAATGGAAGTCGGACAACTGGTTGCCTGAATCACATACATTGTGTACCCCTCTGACCAGTGAACATTGGCAGGGCTCCCACAACCGAAAACTATGAATATATTATGCCATTACGTCAATATTACGTTCATTCTATGAAATCAAAATTTCAAAATAAGCAAACTCAACTATGATATTGATTGTGAAACGTTGATCTAATACGCTCACATCCTGTCATTTAAACGATTGGGTCTGTGTCGTCGATTACCTCAGTGAGGCGAAATAAGGATACAGTAACAGAGATTTATTGTGGAGTACAGCTAATGCTACACTCTCGTTTGAACACCACAGGCCAGATGACTATGATCGTCACCTGGTTTGTTTTAAAACACCGAATCGGTATTAGCACAAAATGGCAGCATTCTGTTGATAGTCGAGTTTGGGCCAGACAATCCAGTGACTGGTACCTTGGGCGTCGGTCTATGCAAATGGGAAGGAATGACTTGCATCAACCAAACCAGCGAGCCGTCACCATTCCATGGATGAACATTTGAAACTGCCTTTATATTTTACTATTCTTTTAACGTTACTTGGAAGAACAGGTGTGAAGATTAAAATATGTAAATAGGAATACATGATAAATGTACTCACACTTCAGCATGAAAAAATCCGTCTACAGCTGCCGGCTTCCAGCAGATGAACATCACATTCTCCGGCCACACCCGTAACACCTGCAACACCAGTTGTTTGGCACATCACCACACACGTGTGATCAGACATATGAACGTTTGATGTTATGTCATTGGTGAGATGATACTTGATAGATTTAAGCCAAAAAGAATCATTCAATATAAAGAGGCACTGACATCATATTCGGGAACCAGTGGCTTAGACAAAGGGTATTCAAGTCTGATATTCAGTCCTCTCTTTAACAGAAGGAAAAACACAGATTTACCAAGCAAAGAAATCTATTGTTTTGGCATCCCTCTTCTCGATGGCTTCTTTCTTTCTCATCGATGCGCTGAAAGTACAACATTCATGTATATATCATGAGATCAAGAAATATCTTGCCGTTGTCACAATGTCACAGGGGTACTATTTCCAACAAAGGCATGTCTGCATGCATTAAAGAATGCAGTTATGAACGATTACACAACGGGGACTTGAATAAGGTGGTGACAATTTACTCAGATACACACACACAGGTCATGAATCAGATTTGGGAAATGAAAAATCTTTGTGTTAACAAATTTAGCAAATGTGATGGGATGAGTATATAAACTACCAGACAAAGAGAGTTATCGCTTTTAAAGTATTTGTATACATAAAAACAAAAAATATAAACGCTGGTACAGTTTTGAACCGAAGTAGAAGACATATGACAATGCAGCTGTTCATAAACTTCTGTTTGAATCGTGTATTTTTCAAAACGTGAAAGACGTAATTGTGCAACATGCACCTGCATGATTGTGGCATAAATACCGATGCTGGACAGCGCAAGCGCTGTAGCCCTGAAAGAACGCCATGAATAAGCCACGATTAACGTAAGCGCAACGAGACAGGGCGATCGGTATGTCCAACATGGGGACTTCACAACGCCACTGGTCAGAATGCAGTCAGGCCACCATCAGCAAACTGATAGACTGCTTCTAGCAAACAGGCCAGATCAATACCGCCAGGTAGACCAAGAGGCACTACACAGGCCGAAGACCGCTATACTTGGCAGATCCACCTTCGGAGCAAATTCGTGACAGCGATGTCAACATCAGGGGACAGCAATAGGGCACACCATCAGCAGACGAACAGTCCTTCAACGACTTGGTATGGCTGGTATACGAGCCCTTTCCGTGGAATGCCTGCCTTGCCCGTCTACACCGTCACCAATGTATGTCGAAGTGGAAGCGACGTGACTAAGAGAGGCGCTCCTTACAGATGGAAGTCGGTTGAGTCGGTTCAGAAACGATGGCAGAGTTCGAGATTTTTACTCATATTCTATATGCCAAACAGCGGATAAGAAGTTTGATTGAGGGGCGTCACAATATGGGATGGCATTTGTGGCCAGAGAACAACAAGACTGGTATTCACCCGAGGAGATCTGAATGTCCAGCGATGCAGGGATGAAGTGTTTGGTCTTTTTGTTATGCCCTTCTACATTCGACAACAGAACGCGTTAAATGAAACCGCTATGGACATATCTCCGAAACCAAGACCGTCAGCTGAGACTGCGTGTACCACCTCCATTGAACTCACAGGAAGCTACGCTGACACTCCTGGACTTATGGAATAGGATTCCTGCTGACATACTCAGCCGATAGACGACTCATTATTTTCCTGTTGTCTTTTTTTCTAAATGGATTGCCGCAAATACAATACCCGCATTATATATATATTCAGTCAAAGTGTGAGGGAAATATTTCTGCTTGTAAGGTAACTAACATAAATCTCAAATATGTTGTTGTTTCCTAGTTTTGATTTAAGTGACAGCTTTCTTTTGCCTTTTTGTTTATATAGTGTTAATAACGATGCGTTAAAATACTTTTTAGATGCTGACATATCTAAAGGTATGAAACATGCAGATAAAAAGAGACTATTCCATAATTAGATTAATGGACATACTGATTTCAAGCTTTCGATTTCTGAATTGAGCTTGTCTGTCAGCTTTGTAAGGCTTTCAATGCGCTTTTTTTTTTGGTCTGAGTCGATTTTCGTCTTTAACTTCTTCCATGTCCTGCACAACATATGATATGACATATGGTATATTTCCGTCATGTAAGTTTATCATCTTGTGCATACGATATTGCCAAATTACTGAAAACGTTTCATGGAATGAATAATACTAGTCATGACTGTTGAGAAGCATTGCATCATAACGTCTCCATTGTGATAAACTTTGTTTGCTTGTTATCTAAACCCCAACTCAGCAATATTGCGACGCTCTGTAGATAAGGAGTTCTTGACAATACAGTATTCAACATCCATGATCATCGATCTTGGTGGGGATTTTGTTGTTGGTATGTTGTTTTACACTCAGCAGTATTTCCAGTTGTATGGCGACGGTCTGTAAAATAATCAGAGAATCCAGTCATCAACAACATAAGCACCGATCTACACAACTGTGATACGATGACATGTGTCCACTAATTAAATGGGCGTGACAACTCGATCCCGTTAGCGGGCTCTTACGACAAGCATGGATTGCTGAAGACCAATTCTAACCCCTAACTTGATGTGTCACTGATCATTGATCTATGCAAACAGGCAGTGGTGACATGTGTCAATCAAGTCCACCTGATCCCATCTGTCGCCTCTTGGGCTCTTTGTGAGCCTGAGTATGATGTACTTCAGCTTCCTTCACTCACCATTTTGTAGTTTTCATTTCCCGCCTGCCATAAAGTCATCATCAGTCTGAAGGTACCCTGTCTGGAAACAACACACACAAAAAAATATTTACATGGTTAGACAGTGGAACTGCATTTTTCTATGTATGGTAGAAACGTTACATGTTTAGAACAAATCATAACAAATCATCTCACCGAGTGGATTTCCAATTATAGATTCATGAGTGGGTGAGATAAAATTAAGATCTTAAAAGTCACACTAGCAGTATGTCAATGCATATCGCTGACTATCATATAGATTCATGACGAAAGGCCAAAGGATATGCACTAATAGCCACAAACACTGAAACCAATGTTAGAGATGGAAATGATTAAGTTACCAGCAATTATTTCCGATTTTCCGTCCATATCCATCGTCAAAATGGCACAAATCCTGATACATTCGGCTTTCAGTTTAGACAAACTGTTGGTGTTGAAGACAGCTGTGGGTAATTCCTGCATATGTTTGAGGCGCGGCAGGTGTCCAGAGCAGGTCCGAGTCATCTCCACAACATATCTCTCGAGGCCGAGGGATGTATGTCTGACTTTGAGGCAAAGCAGAAGACATTATTGATGTGCGGTCTTATTTCCACCCTTGTGCGAGGTCTTCTTGGTATCTTCTTCACAGGCGGGTCGCGAAGAGCATGCTGTGCTTGCCTTTATCTCCCTTCTAAACTATGATTTTCCAGATTTATGAGAATGTCATTCTCTTTGATCAAGTTGTGATCTCAAAGATTTGGAAAATGTGACGAATATTTTCTTTCAAAATTGTGTGTTTCCATCAGTGGATTCGGTTCCTTGCCTGATACTCTGCACATGTAACACCCAGATGGCGAGTCTGTAACGTTAATTAGCTCATTTTGCTATGATATTCCAGTTGTTGTGTTAGGAGTTTCAGCAGCCACATCAACCTTCTCAACTTCGTGGTCGGCATGACCTTCAATTCGACATGTCGCAGGCCAGATTAATTTCTTGCAGCTTTATCAAACAGATAGAGGCTCTGATATTTATGAATGCTGCAAAAATACTGAACAGTCAGAGGTCGGTTCCAGTCGGCGAAGTTTTTGACTACATGGTTTCCTGGTAACTTTGAAGTTGCTGTGCATGTTCTGGCAGTATTCACAGAGTGATGAATCCTTCACAGTCCTGACACCAACATACAGACTGGTTGCCGTCATCTTCATGTGTAGAGAGCTCTGTGGGACGATGTTTGACCGTCAGGATGGAATATTTCCTTCTGTCTCACTGCATCCTTCTGGAGATCTGTTGTGTCTGTCAGGGTTGACTTCCCTCCAACATAAGTAGAGGCATGATATCACAATCACCAGCTGCAGATGTCACACACGTCCACACAGCGTGTAGACAGGAGGCAGAGAGGTAGGGGACGGGTCCCTTTAAGAGTAAACTGCTGCTGACAGACAGAACATTTGGGAAGGTCGGCCATCCTGGAAGACAGAAACCGCATATTAGCATTCAGCGGAAATATTTTTGATTAACGTTGTGATCAGTATAGATGATTGTCAACTAATCATTTGCTACACATAACTGTACGATTCACACATACGTCTATCCAGCATTTTAAGCGCAAATTATTTACATTAGTTTATGTCACTACTGAGTGCAAAAGCATCTTTTAACATTCATTCCTGTCGTCTATCTGCAGTACCTGTATCGACTTCCATCCTATACATCTAACAGCATAAGTATACTCGTAATTACACCATAACAAAGCCTCCTCCTTCGATAGATATCATTTAATCATTTTATCAACACATATATGCAGTAATGTGACGGTATGGTGAATGTAGTGATAGTGAGGATAGAAGATTTGATTAATCAATTCAAAATGATGGGGTTAGCGTGTCTGCTACGGTGATGATAATGTTCCTAAACAAATAGTAACGATGTTGAAATTTCCACTCTGATATCAGGAAAATAATGTATTTAAATTACTTCAGAAAACAGAAGAGACAACCGTAAGCAGAAGTTATAAGCACTTGATGCCCATGCATGTAACCAGTAACCACAACATAACCATTTCCATATCCATGTGTGGTCTTGAAGGACACCATGCACTGAACTCAAGTAAAGAAGCGGCTCAAAATACCTTCCTATCGTCTACACAAGGAAGAATGGAATGCGTCCTTTATCAATAATATTTATCTCCACTAACTAATAGAAGCGTCATGCCGGGCTGTCCAACCTTTAAAACCGTTACATTGGCTACATTACGCGACAACGTTATCAGCGCAGCCTTCAGGTAACGACCGATACCATTCATGATTTAAAACATGACTTCGCAGTTCAATATATTTTATCTCGTAAATACATCTGCTTGAACGTCGTTAGTTGAAACTGCTCACTCACTCACACTAAAC